ATTGCTGTATAATTTTACACTTTTCATTTCACTATATTGCACACCACACTTTTTTATTCCTTTTTTACTTCCACCGCTCCAAACTTGCTCCCTTTGATGGACTGCAATCTCAATATAAACTAGTAGTCCCATCACTGGAGCCTCAGGTTGGCCGACTCATAGGGGTCTGTTAATAAAAACTCACATTGGTTGTGTGCGCAGTGACCAGAAGGGGGCACGATGAGTGTTCTCGGTGTCATGTTCCTCCGCAGGTTCGTTCATACAGATCACGCCGGAGAGAATGAGCATTCCCCCCCCACCCCCAGAAACAATTGTTACATATGATGGTTCCCTCCAGAATTGTTACATTGTATCTCATCACACACGTGATCCTCAGCGCCATCTAGTGGTCATAATCAGGTACTTACCCCATTCACACTGTGCTGCATGAGTGAACCTATTCAGACTGGTGCGTGGCCCACAGATCAGGGCTGTACTGGGTCATACTGGTGCAGGACACACAGATCGGAGCTGTACTGGGTCATACTGGTACAGGGCTCACAGATCGGAGCTGTACTGGGTCAGACTGGTGCAGGACACACAGATCGGAGCTGTACTGGGTCAGACTGGTGCAGGGCTCACAGATCGGAGCTGTACTGGGTCATACTGGTACAGGGCTCACAGATCGGAGCTGTACTGGCTCATACTGGTACAGAGCTCACAGATCAGGGCTGTACTGGATCATACTGGTACAGAGCTCGCAGATCGGAGCTGTACTGGGTCATACTGGTACAGAGCTCGCAGATCGGAGCTGTACTGGGTCATACTGGTACAGAGCACACAGATCAGGGCTGTACTGGGTCAGACTGGTGCAGGGCTCACAGACCGGAGCTGTACTGGGTCATACTGGTACAGGGCTCACAGATCGGAGCTGTACTGGGTCAGACTGGTGCAGGGCACACAGATCCGAGGTGTACTGGGTCATACTGGTTCAGAGATCAGAGCTGTACTGGGTCAGACTGGTGCAGGGCTCACAGATCCGAGGTGTACTGGTTCAGAGCTCTGTGTACTCGGGTCATGCCTTGGCACACAGGTGCGGCCGGGCTGTGCCCCCATGCGATGGTCTGATCTGTGCGGGAGAAGGGGGGGGGGTGATACCAGCGCGGGGTGTCGGAGATCATCGGAGGTGTTTTGTAGTCTCGCCCTCGGCATTGTTTGCTCGGCGTCTTTCCATTGCTGGGAATTTCCATCATACGTCGCAGCTTCTTGACACGTGAGCCGATCTCCTTCCAGCGCAGGTGTCTGGTTGTAGAAAACAGGAAAGTGGAACATACGGGGCGTTGTCCCGCCATGGTCATCCTCCTCTTCCCTGCCCGTCCCCACGTGTGCCCTGACATCTCGTCCTTGCACACGGCTCGGGGGTGGGGGGGGGAGGGGCAGCGCTTCAGTGAAATCCGAGGTCTCCACTGACCTACACGGCCAGGTCCGGCCACCTCTAATGTCCAATCATACTTCAATTATCTCCCATCTACATGTATATGTCCAAACGTTGGTACTCCCGAAGATGAGAGCACGACTCTACATTAACTTACACTGAACTCTGGCCACAAAAACCTTTGAAATACGGTATATCACTCAATAACCACAAACGATATAAATCTACTTTGCAAACCCAGATGTTACCTTGTAACAGTTGCAGTGACATCATCACTGTGCTGTACATGGCCTGAGCAGAGCTGTGGGAGGGGCCCAGCAGGCTCCACCCACTACAAGATGGGGTGGAGACGAGACCAGTCACCCTGAACAAGGAGAGAGAGCTGCAGTGAGCGGTCTTTATTACAGGAGGGGGCGGAGACAAGACCAGTCACCCTGCACAAGGAGAGAGCAGCAGTGATTGGTCTTTATTACACGAGTGGGCGGAGACAAGACCAGTCACCCTGCACAAGGAGAGAGCATCAGTGATTGGTCTTTATTACACGAGGGGGCGGAGACAAGACCAGTCACCCTGCACAAGGAGAGAGCTGCATTGAGCGGTCTTTATTACAGGAGAGGGCGGAGACGAGAGGGAGGGATTGGCAGAGAGGGGCAGGGGGGGTGGTAACTTCTGCACATGCTTACATCTCAGCAAGAACCCTGCGCATGTGCGGCTCCCTGCACAGAAACAAATAATCTCTGACCGGCGGGTGGAAGGGTCTCTGACTTCCACAATCTCTTCTGTCCTACAGAGCGGCCCGGCATCATTTTATGTTAATGACTTCCCTTCCACTGTAAGATGTTACAATGTCACCTCCAGGTTTTCTCCAGTCTCCCTCATGCGGGGGGGGGGGGCACGGGCCGGG